TTTCAGCACCAGAGAACTAACCTCCAGTAAGCAAAGCACTAGGGAACAGAGGCATCACTTAGAATAGATTAAATTCCAGCCACAAAGAAACATTATTTGGCTTTTTCTTGCAGGAGAAACCATACTCTGTTTCATCAAACCCCAGAGTATGAAAAAAATTAAATTATGGAGGCAAATAGTTTAGGGAGTTATAAATAAGGATAAGACAATTATATGAGTAAGAATAGGTAAGATAAAAAGCTAAGGTCTATCCAGTTGCCTGCATCTGCTTGTAAATGCATCATCAGTGTACAAGAAAGGTAAAAATCCCATCAGCATTGCCATCAGGGAGGTGATCTCTGCAGGAGCAGTGCTCTCCTTTGCAGCAAGTGACTTTGGGTGTATTTCCAGGTTGCTAACTGGAGACATTTAAAGAGACTTTGTTTTCCAGGAGGTGGTTTTTGTACTCTGACACTCAGATTCCTTTTTTATGTGAAGAGATGGTGCCTTAAGTAGCCAAACGCCTTGGAGCACCTGCTTCCTGCAAAACAAGGAGTGTTTTGCTGATTATCTGGAACTGATCTGAGCTCAGAATAGATTGTTCTTACTCTTGTGTTTTAAAGTTCTGCCTAATATATATGGAAATTGGAGAGAAAGGGAACCTGGACCCCTTCAGTCTTACTTAGCACTGTGCAAGTGTTATGGGTGTTAACGGTATCTAGAAGAAGAGTTTCATCTTTGGGTGTATCTTAATGCTTACCCTAAATGCCTCCCTTAGTGAAATGCCAAGCTGCTCTCCCTAGGTGGGCAAAGAGTGTGCAAATCTCTGAGGGCTACTCATGCTGAAAGCATAACTTGGATGTCTTAGATCACCTTCCAGAGGTTTCTTGATCTTTGCACTGACTCTAGAGAGAAACAAAAGTGACTGAGCCTCTAAGTGAAGCTGTAGTTCCCCCATGCACAGGCTCTGTTGGCTCTGCCTGCCCTTCTCTCATCCCTATCTGCTTTACCAGCTCTGCTGCACCTCCTAGTTCTGCCAGCCCAGCTCTTTTTGGGCTGGAACGTGTCTGTGTCAGTTCAAGTTGTTACCCAAATACACCTGACATCACCCAGTTCCTTTTTCCTCTGCAAAGGGACAGCTTATATGGAAACAAATGTATAGATTTCTGGACACTTCACAGATAGCAGCAGCGTGTCCACCAAGGCTAGTCAGATCCTTATAATGCAAAAGTAGTCTCCTTCTCTCTAAAATGGGGATACTTTCCCAAGAAACAGGATACATTTCCATTAGATTATGTCATTATGGGCTTCGTGACACATAGATGAACAATTTTGATTCTTTCCAGTAGAATGTACATACATGCTCAAGTGAGAATGGTGTTGTTCCCTCAGTGTTTTGTGAAATGACAGTTACTGAGAGGATAAACCCAGCAGAATGCCTCTCGATAAATCTTTATCTAAATTATCAACAGTTTCTCCCTCACTCTTTCTCTCATTTCATAGACCATTGACCAATATTCCCATGCAGCCATCTTTTAATAGAAAAGAAAGATTTTCTCCTAGGCAAGGGGAAAATGAATGAAAATATTTGCTTGGACAGTTCACCTGGAGCAGGGAAATCAGTTGGGATTGTTTATTCGGCAGAAGAAGGAGAAGAACCGATGACAAAATAATGTTGATCCCCTAGAGGCTGGACCTGAGTATGCAAAAAACTGATAATTCCTACTCTTTATCTAAATTATCAACAGTTTCTCCCTCACTCTTTCTCTCATTTCATAGACCATTGACCAATATTCCCATGCAGCCATCTTTTAATAGAAAAGAAAGATTTTCTCCTAGGCAAGGGGAAAATGAATGAAAATATTTGCTTGGACAGTTCACCTGGAGCAGGGAAATCAGTTGGGATTGTTTATTCGGCAGAAGAAGGAGAAGAACCGATGACAAAAAATTACTTATAACCCAGGAGACATATCACACTATTTGGCAAAACACTTTTCATATATACAGCATCTCTGCTTATATTTTTTGTGGTTGTGATACTGTAATAAATGTTTTCCTTTAAAATAGCCAACTCTGTTGTTATCACCTAGGGAAACTTCTGCTGGATTATTAGGGCTGCTGGATGGATATCTTTGCTCCTGAATTCCTCTGTGGTTGAAGCTGAGTAATCGTGTTTGATTTATTTCTGAATAATAGATGCCAACTATCTAATTGACTGGTGCATCCTGCAGCAATGGGGCTGCTTTTCAGCAGCTGGGGTACCTGTGACAGGTACTGCTGGAATTTTCCCTTTCCTTGAAAACCTTCTGAGCACTCCTCATTGCAGCAAGTTGTTGGGACTGGTTAGCTTAGCAGCACAGTGACATTTTTCTCCAGAACATGCTTAGAATAAAGCTGTAACATATGGTTAAATGAAATAATTTCCAGCAGCACCTGTAGAATTGATCACTGAGCATGTAGGGAATTTCCACCCACAAGCTGTAATCAGCCCAGGTGAGGTCTGCAGAAGGTACTCTGCATTCTTCTGTGATAGCTACTGTAAATAAAGCCACATAAAACCAGCAGTCCATATTATTAGGCAGGCACTGATGTGATCTTCCTGCTATCTACATCCCCATCGTTTTGCAAATGACAGG